GCAAATTCTGTTCTGTTAATTGTATTGTTGTTAAGGTCGAGATAGTAGATTTGGAAGAGTTGGTTCCAATCCTGATGAATAGTAGCAAGTAGGAATTGTTTTTTGTTGCTGTTTGTTGTGGGATGCTTCATGTTGGGAGTTAGTTAGTGGTTGAGTGCACTTGGAAGTGCTGAGAGAAAAAAAGTGTTTCTTGGAAGACTATTACCAAATAAGGAAATTTTTAAGTAAAAAATTGATTGATGAGAAGAGTTTTTTTTTTATATATTAATATTAATTATAATCTGTGGATCTATAATATAATTATTAATTCTTTACAGGTCAGATCATAAGATATTGGTTCAATTCTAAGTAAAGGTAATTGAATAGAACCTATATAATACTTGGCACTATAATCTATTATATACTGTTTCTTATGCAAAGCCATTTCATATACTAATTCAATAGGTATTAAGATTGTAATCTTCAAAAAAAAATATTATAATGTGACAATTATTTAGGTGATACTACAATAATTGTCAAAAGTATATTTATGATAATTAAACAATATGATAAGTCAAAAGGCATATATTCAATTTCCTTAATTATGACTTCTCTTGTATTTGGGTATATAGACTAAATTGTATTCTATTATAATTAAATTTTGATCTTCTCCTTTCAATAATAGTTAGAACATTAGCCTAGAATATTCCAATTCAGTATAAAGTATAATTGATTTAAAAAATAACTAATCACAAGTGATAAGAAGAATTGCAATCTTGCAAAAGAAGCCATAAGCTAGTGAAAATATGATTTAAAATTTAGGTAATAAGATAAAGAGATACTTGAACTAATCTTTTTAATTAAGTCATCTCTAAACAAAGTTGAACTATATAGGTTAGGTAATTTAAACTAGTAATAGAATTTTTATATCTTATAGATTCCTGTCTAATGTTATATAGAAAATCATTAAAAGTAATAGGTTCCTGGATATTGGATATAAGATAAAATGTAGGGGATAATCTATATAGAGTATATAATGTATTAACTTGTATAAGTCCTAATATTACAGTTTTATCTTAAAAAAAAAAAAAATAATAATTAATATTAATTATATAATTAAAATTATATTATTAATAATGATAATTATAAGTTAAATTTTATTTCAATATAAAAAATATAGTTTATTTAATTAAATAATAAATAATAAATAATAAAATATTTAATTATTTTAAAATATTTTTATATTAATAATTAATTTAATTAATTTAATTTATATCAAATTTATTTTGTTATTATTACTTTCTATATTATATAATAATTGTAAAAATAGTATTTTTAATTTTGAAATATGGAAATTATATTTTATTTATTTAATTTTTTAATCAAAAAAATTTTAAAAAATATACAATATATAATATTTATAATTTAATAAATATTGAATTCAAAAAATAATAATAAGTAAATAAATAAATATAAAACTATTGGATTTTTTTAATAATAATTAAAATTTTTATTTAAATTTGTTTTATTTACAGTACATATATGTAAATATTACTTAATCAACAAATTTAAAATGAATTAAAGCAGCAAAAATTTTTAGAAAATTGAAATATTTATTATTATTAAGTATATACTGTATAAATTAATTAAAATTTATTGAAGTTTAATTTTGATTTGCTTAAATCAAAAGATAAGCTTATTTGTAAATTGTTTATTATAAAAACAAATAAAATAAAAAAAGAAAAGAATAAATTATTACGTATTGTTATTATCTATAAAAATAGTTTTCTTGTTATAATAGGTTCAAAATTTTTTAAACTTTTAAAAATAAAATAATACTTTGATCAAAAAATAAAGAAACCAGAAGAAAAAAAATTTTTTTTATTTAATAAAGTATACAATATTAAAAAAAAATAATATGTAGACATTGTTTTAACCAGCAAATCGCAGATTAGTAAACGTATAATTAAGATCAGTGTTAGATTCCTATCATGGCGTCAAAAGAACAGACAACAAAACTTATTGGGGATTATCTCTTGGCTGGTTGGGTAGGAAATAATAGGATATAAACTTATGATATTGGTAGAATTAACACTTTTTAATAAACATGAACGCGTCCTTTTCACTTAGGTATTAACAGATAAAATTTGTCAGACACCAAACTGCAATGTTCCGTTGCTTCGTTCCAAAGACAGTGTCACCTGGTTTTGTGTGGATTGTGACAAAAGACCCGGAGAACCGAAAGTTAATGTGAAACAACAAACAACAAACGACTTGGAACTGAGCCATGATGTTCAAGACATTTTGCTAAAAGCAGAAGAGGTCAATAGACAAGGAAAGGATTCGTTAAACTCGCAATTTTCATCAATCGTTTCGACTCCCATTTCAGAAGAAATGATCAGTGACGAACAAAGGTTACGAAGGGAACAATCACAGCGTGCTTCACATTCTATTGGACGGTATTTGTTATCGGGATGGGCTTTAATTGATGAAATATGTCCTAATGGGTCGTGTTTTGCGGTAGGCAGATAATTGGAATAATACTATATAAACGCGTAAAGTATATTAAATTCCCAGATACTCTAGGTACCATTGGTTCGCGATCGAAACAAGAGGAAATATTGCGTAAATTGTCAGAATTACTATGTGAGCGAATCGGATTTGGATCTCACAAAACACAAGATCGTTCAGAGTGATGTTTCGCAATTAGAGTCGTTGTCGGTAGAGAACGAATCAACTACAAAACATGAACTCAAGCATGGAATTGGTGTTAAAGAGGTTGAGGTATGTGTGTTACTTTCTTCGAGGTATTAGGTAGATAGTGACTGCGGAATGAAATTAGAGACAACAACCGGAAAGTCATTCTTTTCCTTTCACCCTTAGTTTACGGAAAACAAACGAGCGCGGTATTCGAGCCAAATAACTATTTAGCCAATCATTTGCAATTCCACACACTCTCTCTTAAATTTATGATATACCTCTTTTTCAGTCTACGTTGAAGTTTGAAAATGCGAGGGATATTCATGTAAGAGACCAACCGTTATCAAGTGAAGCCAGATTGAAAGGTACCAGATTGGATGATACGTTGCAAGAATCAATTTCTTCGTTGTCATCAACGCTTGGAATGTTGAATAGTTGTTTGGAGGCTACAACCATGATTTCGGATGTCAAAGAGATCTGTGATGCGATAAAGAGCTGTGCCCAAGCATTGGAAGTTCTGGTATCGTTAAAGCAAAAAAAATCGTGAATCTAAGATAGTTGATAAGTTTGATTCAGGAGATTAGAAATTTGAATGACAGTTTTTCCGTTAGCGAGAATTCTGGTTTTTTTTTTTTGTTGACTTTGTATCTATGCATTGTGTTGTATTCATTTTAATTGGTCCTACTATTCACATTAAATTATACGGATCTCATACTCGAGGTCGCCTTATTTTTTTATCGAATCAGTTAACGTGACCGTGCCAAGGGTCCATTCGCTAAGCGCGTCTAAAACGTCAATTTATTCCCTTATGTAAAAATGACGCGTGATGAGAAGATAACATAATGACTGCAGCGTGAGGGATTGATGCAAGATTTTATTTAGAGATAAAGCTGCAAGATTGATTAAATGTACTCTTACAATAAAGAAAAGACAGTTTACATATGTATAATAAGTGAAATGGAACCAAAAGATCACTCGAGAATAAGAAAATAATGTCATGATCAAAAGTTATCAGTCAATTGAAGTCTCAATTACATTAAGAGCGAACTCGATTAGCCCACATTTCATTTTAAAGTCTTTTTTTACTGAGCTTTCCTCTTCTCTCCAAGCGCATTCTTTTTCCTGGCTTCCCTTTCCCGCTTACGATCGGCAATAAAGAAGTTAACAAACAATCCCAGCATGGTCCACATGTAAACCCACAACAATATTGTCAAATTGAAGGGATAGGTTTCTTTCAATGTGGGATATAAGAACTTGAAATAAAAAATATCATAAGTAGCCTGAACCATATTTAGGACAAATTGAGTCATTTGCATGAGAGTTATGTAACGTTTAATGAATCGGATGGGAAACGAGAGGGTGGTGCTCAAATAATATCCGTACATTATCACGTGGACAACTGTGATTGAATGCAAAGAAAAAAGAAATGAACAATAAATAATCCTTTTGTTAATACTCGAAATTAATATTTGCTTTCATTTGAAGTAGATTCTTACCTGAATTCAAAGCGGCGCTAAAATACGTTTCTCCGGTAGGAGCCACGTAAATCACCCACCACCAGATTATAAAGACAGAGCAATGATGATAAATATGTAAAAATGAGATCTGATGATTGTTTTTCTTCAATACCATGATGAAAGTATCCATGAATTCGAAAATCTTTGAGAAGAAGAATACCCAAGTGTATTTTGCCATCTGATTCAATGGATAAATGCGCGATGATGAGTATAACAATCAGACAGTAGGCATTAATAAACGGTTGTACCTGAAATCCTTTCTCCGACCTGTCTTCAGGATTAGCGAATAACGTGTACCCATTCTTCCA